CCATTATCCCCAACAACCCCAGAAATACAAGCTCTGGAAACCAGTAACAAAACGATGACATTTTATTTCTAACATACTTCCATCTGATTTTTAGGGGTAAAAGGAGGTTCAAAAAGTCATACATTTGCTTATTAGCTGTTGTGGGCAACTAGAGACTTGTGTACCTGCTGAAGAGAGCTAACAAACAGAACTCAGACCATTTGCCCCAAGAGTCAGGTAGCCTCTGTAGAAGTCAGATTTCACTTACTGTTCCTTCTGAAGCTGAATAAAGATGGTTGAATTTGAAGATCGGATTGAACTGAAATTGTGGAAATACTTAGATACCGAAAGGCCTTTAACCTGTTCTAATGTGGAATTTGATTTGCCTTTTTAAAAAGTACATTCAGACCTTTAACAGAATTTTTACAAAAATCTGTCTTAAATGAATTTGCTAGGAAAAGTAAAAAGATTATTTCATTTTGGTGGTGTACTGATTGATCCCTACCACCTGGGTAAACCAAGTTAGCTTCCCATAGGAGATTGCTTCTGCAGCTTTGATTTATGTATGAATAGGGTGGACTGATGAGATACAGCCTTTCAAAGGATTCATTTGTATAACAGACAAATTGGTAACAATGTAACTATTTCCTTTCAACACCTTATATTCATTATGCATGTCCAGAAAATGATTTGTCTTTGTGGATATTATGACATGGTTTTATAAGTATCAGGTCAGACATGCCAAATCTCAATTAAAAACTGGTCATAAGTGGAAAGTTGGTTGAAGAGTTTAAAGTATAGTCACACATATGTTGTCTTCTGTGTTGTCTGTCTATGAAGGAATGCTGAGGGTTCAGGACAAAGAGTAGGACAAATTGGAGTGTCACCCAACCTACAGATCAAGGACCTAGGTAACAACACCATAGTTATTAGGGCAATAGGGGTGTTTCAACATGAATTTAAATAGCAGAAATATAAAAGCCGTAACTTCCTCTTAGTGGGCTATTTGTCACTTAACAATTCAGTTTTCAAGTAATGAATATCAAATTGTACTTAGCCTGAAAAAAAAATTAGATACACTAGTCATTATTTGCCAGTTTAAAACATGTGCTAACATATGTATATAAAAAATTCTCACAGATTTCTTGTAGTTTTCATTCTAAAGAATTTTTTTACCATCTGTCTCATGGATGAAATGGGGGAAATTTTTATTTTCTCCATTAACTCCTTCATGATGCCATCATCAAGTCTGTTCAGAAAATCAAAGTAATAGATAGGGAAACAGCACCCAGGTTCAAATTCCCATTTTATTGTTTTCTCCATCACATTAAACATCTCCCAATGAGATATTTGTAAAGTGTTATTTTTAGTATTTGAGAGAGTTTTCTGATTTTATGTCCAAATGTGGAACAAATCAATGGTAAAAATTAAATTCTCCCCCTTTTTTTTGAGATGGCGTCTCTCTCTATCACCAGACTGGAGTGCAGTGGTGCCATCTTGGCTCACTGAAGCCTCCGCCTCCCAGGTTCAAGCAATTCTCCTGCCTCACCCTCGCAAATAGCTGGGACTACAGGTGCCCACCATGCCCAGCTAATTTTTGTATTTTTAGTAGAAAGAGGCTTTCTCCATGTTGGCCAGGCTGGTCTCGAACTCCTGACCTCAGGTGATCCACCTGCCTCAGCCTCCCAAAGTGGTGGGATTATAGGCATGAGCCACCACGCCTGGCTTTAAATTCTCTTACTAAATTAATTTGCCTAATGATAAATTAATCAAAGATTTTCCTTTTTTCTTTCTTTCTGAATGATTTATCTGTTTATGTTATTTATACATCATGACTGAATCAACCTTCTCTGATACTTTTCTCAATGTTTTAATTTTTTAGTCATAGTATGTTATTATATCTAACCTTGAACTCTCAGAACCTCTCCCTTTCCCCCTGTCTCTTCATTTTAATCATACAAAGAGCTATTCTTCCTTCAAGCATTAAGACATGACATATCATTGCTGTATTTTTAAAATTCTTACTCCTTTTGGAGACTGCTGTCACTGTAAATGCAGATTATAGCATCCATTTGCAAATTCATGTGATTTTACTTTTATCAGCTCTATTTGCGTAGTTCTTTAGAGTTGACTTTAATTGGTGATTTAATATACCAGTGCACTTATATGAAATGTGCTCATAAAAACCAGTCTTTATCTTGAATATAGTCTGTGCTGCCTTAGTCCGCAAAGAGTTAATAAAACTAGCTTTCATTTTGCTTAGCTCCCCAAAGGTAATTTGGCACATTTCCCAGACCATACCAGTAAGGTAAGGGTCAAGGTGCAGTGAGTGATACTAAGGAACAGAATTCGAACCTTTCCTCATGGTTTGCCCAACTTGTAGCTCTCCAGAACTCAGTGGAATCTATGGTTTAACTGAGTTTCAGAGCATAATTAACAGACTTAAGAAGGCCCTGTGAAAATTTCCTTTAATGGGGAATTGTGTTAGTGAGTACAGCAGGTGAGTTTTTGAGTATTTCTTGCTTTTAGTATTAATGTTTTGTTTTGTGAAACCCTTTGAAGTACAGAGCCCAGGGAGTTCCTCATAGGTTCATCGCAGCAGCTTTCTATAGTTTTTGCTGTAACTGAGCTTTGTTGTTAATAGCCCATTGCCTAGGATGAAAACAGGCAAGTGAGGATGGAATTGTGGCTTCTGAACCCTTCACCAACCCTTTTTGACAAGTGGAAAGGAACACTTTCTTTTAGTAATAATCAGGACATGGAGGGAAAAAAAAGGCAAGAGTAAGTTTGAAGAGATTAGGAGCCAAGAAGCAGCTATTTAGGAAACCTCTAAAGCTAACTTTAGAACAAGAAATGTCTGGAGCTAATAACATTTTTTTCTTTAAGTTGGGGGAACGATTTTTTTTTTTTTTTTTTTTTTTGAGACAGAGTCTCACTCTGTCACCAAGCTGGAGTGCAGTGGCGCGATCTCAGTTCACTGTAACCTCCATCTTTCTGGTTCAAAAGGTTCTTCTGCCTCAGCCTCCCAAGTAGCTGGGACTATAGGTGCACACCACCATGCCCAGCTAATTTTTGTATTTTTAGTAGAGACGGGGTTTCACCATATTGACTAGAATGGTCTCGATCTCTTGACCTCATGATCTGCCTGCCTCAGCCTCCCAAAGTGCTGGGATTATAGGCATGAACCCCCACGCCTGCCCAGGGAAGCTGATATTTTTTAAGGCACTTTATGTATATTGCTTTGAAACTAGAAATGGTTTCTATTAATGTTTTCCAGAAAAGAACATTTTCCCTTTATTGAAGCATGGTGATAACTACTCAGTAATATTCAGTCTTGACACAAAGTGGTGCCTGAGTGTCTTGGAAGTGTCACTTTGATTTGTCTTTGCTAATTCATGGAGATAGAGCCCCCATGTTACCTCAATTTTATGGTGCTCCATATTATGAAAAACCAACTTTGTGTGGAGTCCCTCCTTTGGGTTGATGACTGAGGGCAGCCCATCGAGAAGAGGCAGTATGCTTTACTGTGTGAGGCCTCCTTTATATATACTACTCTCTTAACTGCTAGAAGAGTGATTCCTTCCAACCTCACCAATATCCCCAAGAGCCAGATCCCCTAATGGAACTTCCAGCTCATTGTTTATTCCTAGTATAGAGATACCTCTGGCTCTGCCAACTTTGAAAGGATATTTTTGAAGTTGTGTATCCAGTAGACATCAAGGCTTATTTTTCTGTCTAGGCACATGCATAATTTCCATAATGAAAAATTGATAAGAGGGTACTCCTTCGCCTTTAGATCTACTCCCTTAAATCCACAGGCAATATATGTTCTGATGGCACATGATCAAAAGAAGTACCTCTTTTAAAGAAACAGATAAATGTCACCATGACTCACTGCCAACTGAAAATCCACAGATAACCTGTAATCATATAGAAGTTTCTTTTCCTTCCTTCTTTCTCTTTTTCATAAAGAAACCAGAAAAAAATAGCTGATGAATTTGTGATAATCTAGGAATACTTTTTAGTGGGCCCAGCAACCTTTAAAGATGCATGATTTTGAATTCATTTCATTGACCAGCCCATTGAGATTTTCTAACAAGGCCAATTTTCTCCACCAGCAACAGAATTGGCACAGTTCAGGTAGATTGGGGAGTGGGGAAGATAGGAAGAGGTAGCTATAAGCATATGAGCAGGCAATGGTGAAGCAAGATTGGTCATATACTGGTATGTGGCCAGCAAGTGCTTCAGATTCATTTTAATAAATGAGATTAACTAGACTGCAGAACTTTCTTTCCATTTGTCTTCCCTGCTGCATGCATCAGGCAAAGGTTGATGCTTCCGTTCTCTCGGCAACAAGATCTTCCTGGCCTCAGTTGACCTACTAAAACAATGGCTTAGCTTCCTTATGTAGATAGTTTTATCTCGACTTTATTCTTGATCTTGATTTAGTACACACTTTAGTGTACTACACACTACCTGAACTGGAACGGGAAATGGAAAAAGAAGATATTTCAGATCCTGTTGACCCGAACCCTTGTAATGCAACATACAGCAATACAGCATACACACTTTAGTGTGTACTAAATACTATATATTAAATCAAACTATATAGTAAAGTATTTGATATTTATCATAGTATTAGAGTACTATAATTAGTAAGTATGGCAAATACTTTACTAAATACTTGAGTATATTTGTCTTTAGCCAGTTAAACATTCCACTCCTTCTACCACCAGCATCACCACCTCCCACCTAAATAAAATGTTCGACTCCTTGAGTGTTATTCTCAAGCTCCCTTGCAGGCTACTATAACTGCTCCATCAAATTGGGTTCTCAATATGTATGAATCAAGATAAATGGAAGTATCATCCTAGATGAAGTACTGCCTTATGTTCAGATAAATGTATTGGGGCTTATGACCCATTACTGTGACTATAGGACCGGTTATTTACATTTGTGGGAATCTAAACTTTAGTAGAACCTTTCAATACCAGTGTGACAAGTGGTCTGATTTGTTTCAGTCATATGACCCATGAAGTAACAGAAGATTTTTCTCCTCGGGATCCAAGAACTGTTGTTGGGAAGCAAGATGACAGGGGCTGCACTTCAGCCACAACAGCATTGTCCCTACCTGAACTGGAAAGGGAAGAGGGAAAAGAAGACATTTCAGATCCTACGGACCCGAACTCTTGTAGTGCAACATACAGCAACTTAGGTAAGTGCAAATGTCCAATAAGTAGTATATAAACTGCCTTTTTATGTACTAGCCAAATGTTCTGTTTTCTTGGAGAGATGGTATTTATTGCTCCATGAAACAGAAGTTAGACTATTGGAGTTATAAATTTCAAGTCATATCAGAAAAAAGTTCTGGTGTTTACTAGGCATTATTAAATACCTGCAACCATGAGCCCTGTGCCAAATGCTAAGGGATATTAACACCCAGCTTTGAGGGACTCACCTGGGGGGAAAGGGGTTAACTTGTTCATGATTTCAGTGTAATACCATAAATACATGGGATATTTTTAATATTGCACAGAGGAGGGTGTCAAAAGATGCCTTTCTAGAGATAATTCCTGAATTGATTTAACTAGTTGACAGAGGGAAGAAAGAATTTTCCAATCAGAGGCAACAATATGAGCAAAATCGTAGAGATGCAAAACAGCTTGGTTCATGTAGGCACCACAAACATTTAGTGTTGCTGAAATGTGAATATCATGCATTTCATGCCAATATCATGCATTTCAGGCTAAAACTTAGACTTTTTGCTGTTTGTGATAGTGAGCCATCAAAGATTTTTTGTTTTTGTTTTTGTTTTCTTTTTTTGAGACAAAGTTTCACTCATCCTCCAGGCTGGAGTGCAATGGCACAATCCCAGCTCACTGCAACCTCTGCCTCCTGGTTCAAGTGATTCTTCTGCCTCAGCCTTCTGAGTAGCTGGGATTACAGGCGCCTGCTACCATGCCCAGTTAATTTTTGTATTTTTAGTAGAGATGGGGTTTCACCATGTTGGCCAGGCTGGTGTCCAACTCCTGACCTCAGGTGATGCATCTGCCTTGGCCTCCCAAAGTGCTGGGATTACAGGTGTGAGCTACCACACCCAGCCTGGGTTGTAAGCAGAGGAATAACACAATTAGATTTGTTTTTCAAAATATCCACCCTGCAGGCTGCCATGTGAACATGGATTATTTGGTAGCAGGAAATTTGGTAGTTAGATACTATTGCAGGACCACACAAAGGGATGAGAAAGGGAGGCCTCTACTAAGATAGTGGGAGGAGGGGACAATGGACAGATTTGAGAGATACACAAGGTTGAATGATGTGAAGAATCTATGATGTATCCCAGACTTCTGGCTTGGATCAAGCAGACTCAAGAAAGTAAAGATGCTTTTCATTGGAGATATTTAGGCAGAGGCTAATGGACCATCTCTCAGAGGGACTATGAGGAGGATGCTGCCCTGCAAATACGGTTGAGCTAAGTTACTTCAGAGGTGCCTGCCAATGCAAAGATTCTTCAATTCTCTGATCATCTTTGCTCTTCTTCCTTGAATGCTCAATGATTTCTTATCTGTCTCCCTTGAGTACCACACAGTTTCCTTCCTTCTGAAAAGCAAAATCTGAGACAAAAATAAGGATTTCTCAGTGCTCTTCTTCTATGAAGTCAGTAGAGAAGTGAGTAGCCTAGACTACTACATGCAAAGCACGAGCAAGATTCATATGAACTACTGACAAATCCTTAGACCCTGTTTGGAAACCAGTGGCATATATCATTGAAGTATTTTTTGACCTAGTTTCTCATTTCTTTTCTTCTTTGTCCTTTTGCTTTGTCAGGTTATTGTAAGGAAAAATAATTCTAACACTAACTAGTGTGCTTGGAAATAAAAGGAGTCCCTAAGAAAGCCAGAGGTTGAGGTAACACTGTGGTAGAGAATACTTAATCTCCTTTTGAGAAACTAAATCATAACAACCCACATGCAGTTGAAAATATATTTTGTAAGAAAAAGACTTGCATTCTAAGTTCCAGAAGCTTTATGTGATTTGGGAGTAAGGGAAACATACTGTAGTTTACCCAAACTACTATCTTGGATACGATTTTCAAGTTGGAACAGATTTTATAGCCAAACAGCTTACTGGACTTTTCCCAGTCTTTTTGGTATTTTGTGAGACACATTATAAAATGAAAATTTACTGTTGTTAGAGACAGAATGCTTGTTCCCAGGTGCCACAAGGACAAAAAATTAGCATTCAGACAAAGTTTTCTCAGCAAGGCAATTTTACTTTCTGCAGAAACAAAAGACTACTTATCAGCAGTCCTGCCACAAGAGTACATTGAAAAAAGAAAGGCAGGCATATTTATCCCTCATGCATTGGGTTGTTGCTGCTATGTCTGATCTCCATTGGTTGGAGATCACAGTCTAAGCTAAACCTGATTGGCTAATAACTTAAAACTTTCCTGAATAGGTAAAGCAATGGAGAACAAAGGAAAAGAGGAAGTTGCCTGCAAAAGGACTTAGAAAAATAATAGCGTTTCCAAATAAGGAAGGGGCATAGGCTGTGAGCTGGGATGTGCCTGTGAGCATGTCCAGCACAAATATCTTGGTTAAAGTACAAGGACATAGGCCAGGCCCAGTGGCTCATGCCTGTAATCCCAGCACTTTGGGAGGCTGAGGCGGGTGGATCACAAGGTCAGGAGTTCGAGACTAGCCTAACCAACATGGTGAAACCCCATCTCTACTAAAAATACAAAAATTAGCCGGTGTCATGGTGGGCGCCTATAATCCCACCTGAGGCAAGAGAATCACTTGAACCTGGGAGGCGAGGTTACAGTGAGCCAAGATTGCACCATTGTACTCCGACGTAGGCAACAGAGAGATACTCTGTCTCAAAAAAAAAGTACAAAGACATGGAATATACTACATGCCTGTGAGCATGTCCAGCACAAATATCTCAGTTAAAGTACAGGACATAGAATGTACTTATTCCCTAATATCTCACAGCTACATAGGAAGGGCTTAACAAAGAGTTACTAGCAAAAACCAAGAAGGCTTTGAAGAAAGTCTTTAAAAGAAACTATTATTTCTAACATTTATTATTATTATCCTTTAACAAGAAGGGAAACTTTGAGGAGGAACTTTTTTACTTTCCACAACTGTTTACTTACTGTATACTCTCAAACAGCAGAGTATATCAGGAATTATAATATCTTCTAGACATTCATACTAAACCAAAATTTATCTCATAATAGCCTCAGTAAAATATTTAACTTTTACTAATTGTACCATATTTTATGGCATCTCTAAAAATTTTTGTTAGCTGACATTAGTTAAAATTATTTTATTTCTTTGTCTTCTCAGTTATGAAGACTGGTAGAAAAAAATAAAGCATTGTCTCTATGAATACTCTAAGTGCCTTACATATATTAGCTCATTTAATCCTCACAACCACTCTAAGAATTATTATCCCCATTTTTCAGATGAAGAAAGTGAGGCAGAGTGCCTTGCCCAAAGTCACAGAACCAGTAGGAATTGAACCATCTGGAATTCAGTCGATCTTAGCACTAGACTTTAATGCCCTTAATCTCTAAATTCTTGTAAAATACTGAAGGGCTGCTACTGTTTTTTTTTTTTTAAAGAAGTCGTCTACTTTCATACATAAAAGTTAAGACTTTTTAAAAATACTGTTATTACTTTGCGTTCAAAAAACTTAAAATGGTTATAGATGCCCTATCAGAAAGATTGCTTTCTCCTACCTGTTGCTTTCCTTTTAAAAGTATGTGATGCTGCCAGGCACAGTGGCTCATGTCTGTAATCCCAGCACCTTGGGAAGCCAAAGTGGACAGATCACTTGAGCTCAGGAATTCAACACTAGCCTAGGCAACATGGCAAGACCCCATCTCTACAAAAAATACAAAAATTATTCAAGTGTGGATGTTTGTACCTGTGGTCCCAGCTACTTGGAAAGCTGAGTTGGGATTATCTCTTGAGCCCAGGAGGTCAAGGACACAGTGAGCTGTGATGGCACTATTGCTTTCCAGCCTGGGTGACAGAGGGAGAAACTGTCTTAAAAAAAAAGATGTGATGCCAATAAAATGTTGTCCAGTTTTCCTTAAGTGTTCAAGTGTCTATATACTTGACTCTATAGGGTATGATACATTATGACACATAGTTGCTTCTTTGGAAAGGTGGGTAATAAAGTTGACTCCAATAGTTCTAAGCTAAGGAGATTTTATTTTGTTATTTTCCCTAATGGAACAAGTATTTTAGATGGCATTTGAAACTTTCCTTTTTTAATGCTTTCAACAAGTCATTTACATGCAGGTTTAAACTACCCCTTTGAGTAATGTTTTATGATTTAAAGACTTTATATTGTCTTCTAAGTTGCACAAAAATCACATTGGTCTTTATGCCACTTGACAACTTAAGGAGGTTACCCATCACAGAACGATGATTTTACTCTGGGTGGTGGTCATGTCATGTAACATCACTGAATGAACTCTGATCTGTAACAGCTTAACTGACCCCAGGCTGAATTTTATAGGGTGTCTGTCACCCAAAATGATTTCCCAAAGAAGTGATAAAATTTCTTTTAATCAGACCTGGAACATTTTCCGTATGTTTCTATGTTTATCTCAAAATAGAAATCACTGGTTTCTTCATGTGGCATATCTGACTGCTTTATCACTCTGCTAAAATTGGGAGCATGTAATGAAACAGCTGTCCTTCAATCACTTTGTAACCAAGTGCTCTTATATCTTACACATTCCTTTCTGGAAAGATCTATAAAATCTCCTTTGACTGATTTTTGGCTTCCTCCTCTTTCTGTACCCTAACAACCTAGTGCATTATTCAAAACACACAGTAGGTACTAAGATTGTGTTTGAGTGAACGAGCTAAAAATGACTTTTGGATTTGACTTTAGAAGATTACCAGATTAGGAAATCTGGCTCTGCTCAGGGAAGTTCATCTAGGAAAATTTCAAGTCGATGTGCTCCATTAATCAGCTGGCTTTTCTTTTTCTAATATGAGGCTTCATCCATAGGTTTCCTAATTAAGGAATTATGTAAACCATGCTTCTGTTTCCTTTCTATCAACACAAACTGTACAGATTTTCTCATTTTACCTCCTTTGAACATCTCCCTAAGACTGTGTCCTTCAAACAGTGAAAGAAAACACATACAAGTCTTCTGACTCCAGAACTTTCTTTGGCATTAAATTGATT